GAAAAGATTTTGCCCTGACTCCAAAAAGATAATGGAAGACGTGCCAGGGGAGATCTCTGAAGAATTGTATTACTGCATTCACTAAGTGCCTCTAAAACCAGCCATGCAAAGTCTGTTCTTTATATCTGAAATCTTACACAGTTCATATAAATAGCTGAAATGGCTATCCTTCATTTTATTGTAATTCTCTGAATTTATGAACTAATAATTGCCAAACATATAAATTAACTTGCTTTTATCCATGTCTCCTGCAACTAGGTCAACGACAGACAAGCTTTCATACAGCTGAATCAACATCAGATTACAACTCTTCCCAGCCAGCAAGGCCAACTATGATGGCTGGGAACTCTGAAAACTGAAGTTCAACCTATGTGGAGGACACGGGTTCAGAAAGAGTGACCTACACAACCATCAGCATCCACCAAAGAGAAGATCAAGATGTAACTTCTGTTAATTAAGTTTCCTAGGTCCAGCTAGGTCTTGAGAGAGGAAACCCAGGCCTAATATTTCAGGAGGAATTCTAGGTCTGGTATTCTAGGAAGAAACACTGTGGAAGACCAGGCTCAGCATTCAGGCCTTCTGTTTTCTAACCTTGCAATGGAGCAAAAGGTCCAAGATAAGGAACATCAATGTGTCTGTTTCTAGTAACAATGAGAGAAACAATGTGGCTGCTTCTAGTAATAAATTACCAAAACTGTTTTCTTACATCTGTTATACCAACTGCAAGGAACATCAAATGTCCCTCTCCCACCAGAATGAACTCTGTTGTTAACTGCCTGGCTGGTATGTTTGCAGACTTACATCCTGCATAGATGATATACAGATGGTCCACCTATAACAAATACTCCACTGGAATTGCTTTGTCTTGACTTCTGTCCCTATCTTTCTGGTTTTGCTTGCATGGACTTGGGAGGCATATTTTCATCTAAAATGAATGCACTAAAACCAGACATGCCTGCTCAGGTTGTAACCTATGAACAAAATGTTTTTCTGGATCGGGCAGGCACTTGGGTATTTACCTTATTTGGACTTATTTTAATAACCCCCCTTCATCACTATAGGTATAATGCATATTGATCTTGGTCATCAATAGTCTGAAAGGCCATCCATATGAAACCAATATTTACACATACTTTTGTAGTGGTGGCTTGGATGCAGCCCTCAGAGCTCTTTTAAAATGTGCTACCAAATTGTAATGCGTCAAAAGAGCATACTTAAATACACAGAGAGTAATCAGATTACCTGTATTTAAATAATGTAACATAACTTACTTTTAAAATTGCCTGGCCTTGCCAATTATGTTGTTCTACTCCTACCCATTTTCTAATGCACAGCCCTGGGATATCAACCAAAGACAAAATACAGCCTCTGCATTCTGCCAACTGTATAAATGGTTTTTGACAGTCTTAGATGGACTGTATGAAAAACTACAAGTAACACAAAAATGTGTCCCTTTGCAAAAGAGAACATGACAGTTGTGGTGGGTTCTTGTTTTAAACCTCTGAGGGTAGATTTCTTTTATCAATGTAGAAAGTAATCTGAGATTCTCAGGTGTTCAGATTTGGTCCCAGATACCAAGCAATGTTTCATATGAGCTGAAAGACAGAAAATCATATACTTTTCACATAGAAGGAGGTAGCTGGTTTATTTATGGCTGAGCAGAAATGGAGAGTGACCATTCTTCAGGACAGCATGAGAAAGTAGACATACTTGATGTACAGCTCATGTTTTTAGCTTGGTGGCAACTGTGATCCTGATAGTGGTGAACATGTTCACCCTTCCTCCAAAACTCCATATAAATGAAATAATGTTTTTTTTACCTCACTATGCATTTGTTTATCATATAGCTATACCTGACTGATTATAGGCACCATCACAAACTTAATTCAAAGCAAGAACAAAAAGCATGTAACTTACTACTTCTTGAGCAGAAGAATGCTACCTAATGACTGTTAAATATTTTTCCATTATGTAAATATATATCATTGCATAACTTTCCATTCCAATCACATGGACTTCTGAAGGTCCAGATTACTCATTTCCAGCATGGTTGAGTAAAAACATTAAAATAATCCAGGTTCACAATTTAATGTACTTTAACGAGGGAATAGTTGGAGAGTGGATAACCAAACTTTCTTTTAAGTCCTACAAATCTCCCTGGATACCATGGAAACTAGGCTATCCTGTGTATTTCTATAAACTGCTGCCTCGGAAAGAAAGCACATACTCTGCAATGAGCCATCTGTCAAGGGAAATCTAGATGAGATCAGCAGATGTAAAAATGCAGCTCTATGTACACAGATAAAAGAAAGAAATGGAAATGAGAAAATAGTATGTAAAACACTCATTAGGGATTCCACAACACAAAGGGTTAAGATTAGGGTTAGGGTTAGTAGGACTGGACAAACCATTTAGAGCAAAAGATTGCTCAAGCAACTCTGCTGAGGGTTTGAGAGAGAAGGTTGCGTGGATGCAGGTCTGGACAGATTGAAGCACCCCTTACAGTCTTAGAATTGAAGGTTTAACAAGCGTGAAATAATAATTCTAGTGATTCAATCATGTCAGTCTTGATAAGAACCTTCTGAACATTATATTAATCTGCACCCACTTTTTACATGTGGCTCCATGATCTATATATCAATTTTAGGAGTTGGGGAGAGATGTAGATGAAGCTTCAAATGAAATAGGGATTATCTTCCGTGGCACATCATTCCCGTGAGTGCACTATTAATATACTGCATGTGCTATTCGAGGTACCTGAGATATTAGTTCTTATTTATAAGCCATTGGGGTGTAAAAGGAATCTGCCATAGGCTTGTATGAAGAAGATTAGTAAGACCTACCAAAATGGACATACCATGACAGACCCAGTGGCACTGAATAACATTTGCTGCCATCCATTATTCTCTGGTAAAAATTAGTACCAAAGAATATATATTTCAGAAAGCAACATACAAAAATGCAAATGTTTGAGTGTAGAGACAGAGAAACAATTTACATGTGAGAAATGTATATTAAGAAAAGTTTTCTGAGAGAGGTTTATAATCAAACTGCGTATCAGCAAATATTAATACATAAGTTCTACTTATTAGGGAAGGCTGTAAATGAAAAACATGGATTGTTTTATGGCTCCTAAAAATAACCTTTAGAAACTCAACCCTACGAAGGCAGACAATAGAAGAAAACAATTTTACACTGATTTACACATTCCTAATAGCCTAATGCTTGAAGTGATAGATTTGCTACCGAATGCACTGATCTGAAGATTACTAATGGAGCAGATTTAACAAATATTACAACTGAAAAGATATGAATTTTAGAGTCTCTCCCCAAATAGATTTTTTAGAGAGTGCCTTCAAGTCAGTGCTGACATTTATCTGGCTATATTCACCACCAACAGGGTATCCCATTTCTTACTGCAGCTTTTATATAATGCCTAGTAGCTGACAATACTTTCCATAAATTGTGAATGCAGATTACAGGCAACAAGCTTTTTCTCATTCCAAGAAACAGTGGCTTTCTTGTTGCTTTACAAGGGAAGGAGAATGATTTGATCTAAAATAATCTGAAAGCATAAAAGGAAATGTATCTAATGTTAAAAATTCAAGCAGGTGAAAAGTGAAAGGCAATATATGAATTTTCAAAGCTCCAGAAGAAAAAATAGGTCAAGCTTTTGTAGTTGCTAAAGTTGGCTGGAACCAAATAAAGCCTCTACATTTATTGCAGGAGTCTTCTTTGTGTTCTATATCCATATCAAATCAAATCTAGATCCAAGATAATCCTGGATTTTGTATGAAGTGAATTCCAAAAGAGATCCCCAACAGAGCTGAAAATACCTGGGTTTGCCAGAGTTTAGATTCAAGAGGAAAACTAGGCTTTGCTGACACTCATTAAAAGAACACATGATTTGTATATATACAACATGATTTGCCATGAAGAAGAAAAATCTAAAAGAATAATTTGCTTGTTATTATTTTTATAAATAAATAAATAAATAAATAAATAAATAAAAATAAAAGTTCAGTTTTGTAAATAACTGAAGGCAGCAAACGTACCTAATACTCCTTCCTCCTCCTCTTATTTTCCCCACAACAACAACCCTGTGAGATGTGTTAGGCTGAGAGAGAGGCCAACATCACCAACCAGCTTTCATGCCTAAGGGGGTACTAGAACTCAGTGTCTCCTGGTTTCTAGCCTGGAGCCTTAACCACTAGACCAAACTGGCTCTCTACTGTTAGTAATGCTGTTAGTATTCTACATGTATATACAGTATTGGCCACTGATTTAAACACACCCAAGTAAAAAAACTGAAGAGCCCAAACAACTACAATCTCAAGATAGGAGCTCAGAGCCAAGAAAGTATTTGACAAAAGTAATCCTACTAGCCAATGCAGGAAGTGTTAACACGATTCTTCTAAAGATTCCAAAGACCTGCTAGACTTGTCCAAAGAGGGCAAGTTTGGTCTTCAATTGTAATAAAGATCAATTTGATCCTTTCTGCTTATTTCTGCTTGATATCAATGGGAGTGAAATGAACTATGCCAACCTGAAACAAACAGATCTTCCCATAATCTTGGTACGTGTGCGGAACATGAGATGGGTGTGAATCACAGAAATTCACAGCCTCTCCTGTATAGCCATAGAATGGTACCCAATCTACTGAAATATCTAATTAGTCTGGGAGGGGTTAGATCTGCCCCTCTTTGGGCTTTTGTCCTCTGGCTACGATATTAGAGTCCCCCAAATTCTAGACCAAGAGATTAGAATTTATATTCTAGTCCGTGCATGACATAAATTGAAACTGTAACTTAGGCAAAAGACAGATGACTTCCCACCAACTTTTTAGATACCTCTGTGGAATAGTAATGCTAACAGTTGTCCAATATATTCCTTTCTGTTTTTCTTTTAAACTGCAGAACCCTGTTTGTATTTCCTTGCCAAATGGCTATCTCTGAGAGCACACTGCCTTGCCATGTAATTAATTTTGCACCAAATAGCTTAAAAAATAGTCAAAGATACTTAATTTAAAAGAAATATAATTTCCAAATAACTTTAAACAGGGTCATCAGCCAAATCTTTGGAATTCTTTTTTACATCTAAGTTCTGGATTTGAATGAGGTACTCATAATATATGGAAGCAACATGGGCAACTTTAAAAGTTCCAAAGTTGGAGTTCAAAAACTAGGACTGATTTAAGAACAGATGGCCACGCATAGCCTACCCAAGGGGAGTTTCTCATGCTGGCTTGATACTCTTTATGATTCTCCTAAAATGGCACTGAACTGAGATAAAGCAGGCTCTTGCAACTCTGGTGATGTGACATGCATTCAAATGGACTCATTTGTCTAGTAACTGTAATAAATAGGACTTATTAATTCTGAGCTGGAAAGGGAAAAAAAAAGATTTCACAATCCTTATTCATATGCTCATTCTCCAATTAAATTATGCCCTTCACAAAAATATCTCCATCACTTTAAAGGGTCTGGGAGAGAGAAAATACAGCGTAAATGCAATGGTCAACCTAGACAGTCTGCTTTTAAAAACAGCTAGAATGGGAAAAAAATCAAGTCATTTAAAGTTGCACACTCATTTATCTCATTATGGAAGATCTTCCTTCACATCCATATAGCCAATTATCTCTTTTTCTTTTAGACTGCTCTTCTTGCCAAAAATGTTGACGTACCCTTGCTTTCTGATCAATGATACATTTTCAAAATGCTATACTGTAGCATATATTATCCACTTACTGTTGTCCCATCTTCATATCCTTCTACACATGATGGAGGTACAAATCACGCTATTATTTATGCAACACATAAGGGAGGAGAAGAATCAGGTTCACTCCATATAGACACAATGCCTGTGCCTCCTGGTAACAGACAGTAAACCTCTCTTGCATTATGAAGTATGTGTGTATCTCTATGCAAGTCTATCCTACAGGAAATAGAATTCTGATTTTTCCTGGATTTCTTTTGCGTGAAGCGATACTATGCATAGCAGACCGATTCTAACTGAGATCAAAAGCGTTCTTGTAGGAAATGTAGAGTTATTTTTTTGTCTGTTCTTCCTACAATACATGAAGGATATTCAAATGAACACTTCTCAAACATGATTGAAAGCATTGTTCTTATCTTCTTCTAGATTCAAATGTAAAGATGTATGTTGGAAAAAAAATCATATTATTGTTTCATTTTCGGCTTTGTTTTACTTCCCACCCCACCACATTCATGGGGGGGTGTCGATCTCTTCACTGAAATATAGTGGAGATTCTTCCCTGCCTGCTGCTTTTCTTTCTTTGGAGTTAGCCATTAAATTGGTTTTAAAATTCCAGTATACGGACTATTTTCCTCTAGGATCACAACTGTCAAGCGGAAGCCTGTTGGATATAAGAACTCTTTCCATTTTATAAGCACTTTTAAAAATATATCATCTTCTAAGCTTTATATTGCTTTCGGTGGAGATTCTTTCAAAAATTTTCAGTTTATAATTTTGATAGTTTCCATCCAAATGGCAGAAACCGTTAAAGTGAAGGTTGTTTCCCATTGCGTTATGATTTCAGTTTAATAGTTTTCAATTGCTTTTGTTAATCCTGACAACATACCCCTTTCTACTCAATGTTTTCAGACTGTAGTATTCTCGTTTAATTTACTAAAGCAATGCAATGTAGTGTTACCAGTCAATTAGGGGAATCTTTTTAATGAGTAACAAATTATAAACCTGAAAGGGAGGGATTTTCATTCATTTCTCCTATTCTTTTTTATAATGGACCTAAGACTTGTCAAATTCTAGACAAGTATCTCTTCTTAAAGAAAGCTGTCATTGATACACTTATGAACATAATTCCCCTTCTCTATTCAACTTTGATAGTCCCAAGGCTGGTTAGGTTTCCCCAATGCTATTTACATAACAAGCACATTAATTGCACCTGTACGATTCTGTACTGCAACGTGCTATTTTTAATGCACACTCAAACCTAATGGAAATTCAGATTGCTCTTAACATTTAGTCTCATGGTTAAAAGTTAATTCTATTTTTCATTCTTCTGGAAACTATCTGCTGTTCTGTGCTTCTTCTAGTTAAAGAGTGGTAGAGAGTTACAGCCAGACTTTCGGAGCCCATAGCAAATGGAGGATTAGGAGGAAATGAGAGCTCAAGTTATATGGAAGCTGAATTAATCTGCAAGGATATAACCTGTGATTCACATCTTTAAGATCTTCTGGAAGAATTTTGATACAAGGTCAGATGGTGTAGGACAAGTGTCACTGGACTGTACCATTTCAAACTTCAGGTGGGAAATCACAAGAATGAAGCATCTCTCCTCGATATATCAATCTGTCTCCTGAAAACCTCATTATTCTTTTAAGAAACCATATGCATGAGAAGATTTTAAGCCATACAGTTTTCAGTATATATTGATTATATGCTCTTCCCAGGAAAAGTATTGTTACCTTCTCTCCTTAATGTGGCAAACCAATCAAAGATACATGTACCACTTTGGAATCCTCCAGTTTTGCTTTGAATAGGATGTTCAAGGAATGTTACATACCTGTAATATGTATGTGATACTCCTCCTTTAAAATAGTTTTCAAATAAGGCAGTCTGAACTGAAAATGTGCAGCAGGCAAGCCTGGAAGATTCACATCAACATCACCCATAAAATGTGGAAATTCCCAGTCCTGCCAAGAAAGAAAAACAAAAGAAAATCTTACCTTCTAACATTTTTTTTTTAAAATAGATCTTCTCTCACCTTCAGATACACTTTACAGGGTCAATTTATAAATTATGTTCCTTACTCTGGGGTGATTTATTCAACTTCTGTGACTAGATCCCTATGAACAGTAGCATTAAGATTTCTGTTTGGAATCTTGCAGTTGGTCTCGCCCCAAACTGGGAATAGATAAGACTACTATCTGCCTGGAAAGACTGTCACCTACAAGAATGTTAACAACTCAAAATTATTATATTGATCCACAAGGAAGACAACTCTGACTTTAAGATAATCTCACTCTTCCCAAAAAGAAAACGCAGATGGAGGGGAAAAGTGCAGAGACAGGCAAAAGTGCTGGGGAAAATGGAGCTTTTCTACCTCATTGACCATTGTTGCTAACCCAAATGGAAACCAGTTCCATAGACTCCCCTTCTCCCTAAATGGGTTTGCATATGAGACAGTTGTGTATGTAAATAAAAATATCTGCCAGAAGCCCCCCCAAAAGATAGACAGACAGACAGACAGGCAGACAGAGAGCAGAGTTTTAGGACAAAAGAGGAAATTAACTGAATTAATAGCTATTAGTTAAAGTTAATTGCCTATAAAGTATTTCATCTATAACAGTGTTGTCCAAACTTGGCCACTTTAAGATGAGTGGACTTCAACTCCCAGAATTCCCCAGCCAGCCATGAGTTGAAGTCCACTCATCTTAAAGTGGCCAAGTTTGGACAACACTGATCTATAACATGGGTATATTTCATCTATAACAGTGTTGTCCAAACTTGGCCACTTTAAGATGAGTGGACTTCAACTCCCAGAATTCCCCAGCCAGCCATGAGTTGAAGTCCACTCATCTTAAAGTGGCCAAGTTTGGACAACACTGATCTATAACATGGGTATTGATTATCCATATACATATACCAACTATTCTCTTTTTCACAGAAGCCTTGTTTAGATATGAGAAAAAGGATTAAATTCACTAGGTAAGCAGCTCATTCCCCAACAAGCAAGGACTACTGTTCACTAGTGTCAAGTGCATTACCATCTGTCCTCAAAGCTTAAAGCACCTGTCCTCAAAGCTTAATGCAGCTGTAGCTTTTACAATGAATGGCTCTACAAGCATCTACATGCATGGCCGCTTCACTTGTGGTCCCAGTAAAAGCATGTCTGGCGTGGAAAGGATGCAGCTGCTTTAATGCTCCAAGAGTGTTTTATTCACACTAACATACTTTGTGATGCACTTCTGAATGTTTTCCATGGGCCTAATCTTCAGGCTAATTTTTAAAGATAGCTATTTGTGCCTCCACCAATTATTTTGTTTTTATCCATGTCTTCTATTTTTCTTAGCAAATATAAAAAGATCCTTAATTCATAAACAATTGTTTGGGAGGAGTGAGAGGAAACTCTATTTTTACTGGGTAAAGATGATTGATTCTGGGAACATAATCTATCTCTGCTTTTTTTTTTCTCTCCTAGTGACAGGGATTTAACCTGAAACCTTATGCACATATTTCTTGCAGTCTACCACTGAGATATGATCTTTTCCATGCCTGTCAAAAAATGATGTTGCTACTTTGGCCACAAAGGATCCTCCACAGGATTCATGCAATCTAAAAGTACATATACTGGATTCTAAGTTAAATTAATTTACAGAAATGGTGCTATATAACTCTAATTGCATCCCTTAAACATCTCGTAAGATGTTCACAGAATGCTCTTTGAAAATCACTCAAAATTGGTTTCAGATTCCAAGATAAATTAAGGCAGTTTTTGTAAGAAAGTTTCCCATCCTTTCCCTTTCTTCCCTGCATTCATTTCACAATGTTCAAGACAACTCTTGAGTATTTCCACAAAGCTTTCTGGAGGTTGCTGGTAGCTAGTAGGAGAAACTAGAAACAGAAACATTCTACCATGGATGTTCGAGCTTTAATCAATTCATCCTCTCAGTTCTCTCATCTTGTCTGAAAATCTGAAGCACAATCGGCAGTCAAGCACTATCCCACATATTGAGGATCTGAGCAACAGGATCACCCAAAGAAAATACAGGAGGTCCTGATTCAGTTCTTACTGGATAATTAGTTTATTTTAAATTAATGCAGTATTTCCTGCAGCCAGCCAGCCAGCCAAACACAAGTATTCTTATGACCCTGGAATGTCTTTGAGTACATCTTAGATTATTAACATCCAAGCTTTCAGCGGCAACTGATGGTACAGAATTACCATGGTCAGATTTCAAAAGATTTCTTTTATATATATTTTTTAAAAGAGTGGAAAAAATTGGGCCCCTGTTAAGCTTTAATACAAACTATAATCAGAAATTGATTCTTTTCATTTCTAGGAACAGTCCTTGCTACCGTAATTAAACTGTCAGTTTACAGATAGATAATTCAGCAGGTAAGCACCTGGCCACAGAACTGATGCAAAAGTAAAATTGCTGCAGAAGAGAGATCTTTTGTTAACATAGAAATATTGTTCTAAAATCACTGCTCTGTGCATTGGATTAGGCTCCTTCTATTCATATTCTAAAATACTGTCTTTCATGAAGGCAGTATTTTAGTACTTCACAGAGTTCCAGATTGTATTTTATATTCTAGGGAGTTCCAGTGAAGTCCCAATAAAACTACTAGACCATACTAAGCAATCTGTCCATTCCAGAAGGATTACAAAATCTGTGAAGAACCATTTATGCTATACAGTCTGATGGATGGTATTGAAATGTCTTTGTTCATGGATATGCAGGTAATAGGTGCGAATACCCATCATTTGTTATATTGGCTGTAGCCTTTTCCAGAAGACTAGTGTTTGGCTAAATATGTTGGTTTTGTATGGTTGAGGGGGGACTGTCCTTAGGTGATGTAAGAGATTGTGGAGCAACTGGGAATCAAGAGACGCTGGCATCTTATGTCATAAATAGCAACTTGTTCTGCTATCCATAGAGTTCCTTGTGAGTTGGTAGCCATGGTCTAGATCCAAAACATGAAACTATGTATTCTCTCTTGTAGGGGAATAAGAAGTTTCAAAAACTGATATCAAACCCTATGCACCTGGGCAAAATCAAGGCAGCAAGAACTACCCCAATTTCAATAAAGTATATTTAATGAAGGTCTGGGGCTAAGTACAGAATCTGGGACACTGCGAGAAGAATTTCTCACCCTAATTTATAGTGAGTTCATTAAGATGGAGTATCTTTGAATGATCTGAAATGCTTCTCACCACCTGGGCTGAGTTACCATTTATGAGATTAGCTGCCAGTGGACTTGCCTTCTATCTTGACTGCTTATATCTCCTCTCACTTCCATTCTTTTTTCAGCCTCCCCATTATCTCTGACTTTTCTTACTTCTCTAATGTATCCATCCCACACCTAGGTCAACAAGATCTCTAAACGTATACATGTGGATTGTGCATAATTGCTGCAGCATTGTGAATCTATGCAGTCCCCAAAGGAAATTCAAGACCCTGAATGATCTACTTGTCCCATACTCCTATCCATCTTATCTCTACTTCTATGTAAGGTTCTATTTGCAATTTCTTTCAAGTATGTTCAAAATCTGTTCAGCTATTATTTTTTTGCCATGTTGTTTATTTAGCTTTATTTTTCACAACACAAAACTCCAACTAGATAGAACATTTGCTCTTTGAAATGAATCTGATGTTTTTTAAACAAAGAATATCTAGCCTCAACTAAATTGAGGAGTTGCCAGGCAATTCCTTCAGTTTACGGACAAAATGTAGTTAATTTTGGCCCTAGAGAAACCAACTGAGTTGTAACACAGTATATCACATATGGGAAATAACTCAGTTGTGTCATATCTATTAGGCTTTCTTGTAAATCACTGAAATGGCAGCATTTTGTTTCCCTTTTTGTATTTTGGGGGATGGGCTAAGCAGAGCTTGGGAATTTTTTATAGATAGCATGCTTATGTGCAGTCTCCCAGTTTTTTAAAATGAAACATTTTTGTGAAGAAATAAGTGAAAAAGCCTGAATTCAATGCATTCTATCATAAACTGGGATAATAATCTCTATTTTATCAATTCACAGTGGCAATACAAAGATGGAATTCATGTAGAGAGATAATATCTCCACCATGCTGCTTTCGCATGGCATTTTTAAAAATCCTTCTTGGACATTTATTTCCAAGTTGTGAGCTATGGAACTGCACATTCAATACTTAGTCATCTTTCATAGAATAGAAATCTTCAAATCGGGATTCTAAATATGTTCAATTACTTAAGTAAATGCATTTAGAATCTCCTCTGCAATTGGGAACTTTGTTGAGTTGGGACAATCCAAGACATTTTCCTGCCTGATGCAAAGAACAAGAAAGCATTCCTATTCTTTCCAGAAGATTACTGGACTGGAGATTGAATTGCCTCCTTGACATTGTCTACAGAACTGAGCACCCTGCTAGTTGAGGAAGTCAGGTAGCCTTCTCTTCCACAGCAAAATAGAAATAGCTTACAGACTACACAACCATCCTTCAGACACCTGCCACCTAAGATAATAGCTTCATTTTGCCTCATGATATGGCCAGCCTTAGTGCAGAGCTTCACATTGCAGAGAGGAGTCTAAAAATGTCCAGCCAAATTTCCCTTTATAGTTTTTTCACTCACGTTGAAAGGTCAGGGATGTAATCAATATGTGTAAGGAAACTAAGAGTACTTAGTCTCTTTTTCTCAGGGCTGAAAAATCTGTAATTCCTGAATTATGTTTTGAATCATCCTAATTCTGAATCAGTTCTAAACCAATTTAAACAATACAGTGTTTAAAAAAAACCACACTTTCCCATTTAATGTGGTTGTGATGGAACCAGATATGGAGAAAGATCCTAATTTGGATATAGTTTGCTCAGGTTGTGTGTATGTTTGTGTATAGGCATATATGGTAGGAAAAATCCCTTTGCTTTTCACCATTTAAAAGTTACTAGCGTATCATCAAAATTTGACTAGAGCGTGCAAAGAAACCTGAA